ATGATGCCAAACAGCTGGAAGTCTATTATTAAAGCTTTGCAACTCTAACAGAAGCATCATACTTTCTGCTTTATGGAATTGATTTTCAGACCAGACTATGTATCTATTGAACCATTATTATCAGTGAACCAGTAATTTGGGTTCCAGTTTTTATATACCCATGACCTTTATGCATGAAGGTCAATGTATGGCTTAATTATGAAAATTAATTATTAGATAATTTTGGCAACATACCACAATCATGCCAGAAGCCAAGGAATCAAAAGAATAACTGCCTGAGACTACATCATCATCTAACTTTCTATCAGATACTCCTTGATATCCCAGAAATAGTTTCTGCCCCTGGGAATAGTCAGGGCCTTACCAACTACTCCTTATTCCATTTACAACTTTTTTCTGGTGTGAGGTATCAATACACATATATTTGTACTGTGATATTTAGTTTTACTATCTACATAGACCACAGCTATCTCACAGACAAGAGGTCAGGATACCAGTCTTCTATACTAGCAAAACATAAGTCCTACCTGGATCAAGGACTCCAAAAAAGTACATCTAAACAAAATGAAAACAGAAGGAAATGAGAGCCACATTTATAACTGCTAGTCTATCAGTTTGAGCTAAATGGTACACATAAGAGTAGAAGTGACAATAAATTTAATATAATCAAATGGGCTCTTTTCGCTGATCATTATTTAAATGGAGGGGAGAAAACAACTTCACTTGATTTATTTGGGATCCAGTAAGGACATACACTGAAATAAAGTAATGGCCTTGGTTTCATGAGTAAAATGTTGCACAACAAACAGCTTTGACCATACTTTTGTCCTTTCCAGTTTACTGCTTGATGCCACTTGCAGCCAAAGACAGGCACTAGACTCTCATCCAAGCAAGTCCAAACCATTGCAACACATGTTCCTTTAGCCTCCAGAGAGGAAGATCATATTCATAAGTATTAAGAATACCCACTAATAATCAAAGTGACTGACAGGTGGTAACATTAGAACTGTCCTCACTAGTATTGGGAAATGGGCTGGGATCCAAAATTTTGCATTTGACCCCAATTTTCAAGCACCTCTTTTGTGATTAGTAGGTTTGTCCACACATCCTCAAATTTTGTTATTTAATATCCTTACTATGATGATACAACAATGTTTAATTTGTGGGTTACCCCATGAATACTACTAATATTACCATTAATTTTTGCATAGTTAGTTCCTAATCATTCAGTATCTTCTATAAATAGCATTTCCCAGTGTGCTTGCTCTTTCTCCCATTCTCTGTATATATGAGGTATCTTCAAAAAAGTTTATGGAAAATGCACATTACACAAACTGTGAATGGATTTCAAATTTTTTTGCACCAAACTGAACATTTAATTCTATATTTCCACAAACTTTTTGAAATACTATTGTATGTGTGGTTCATTAAAAAGTGCTTGTGGTTAAATAAGATTGGGACATTCTGAATTTCATTAAACAGATGTCCTTGCTCTAGGACTTCTCAGAACATTTAATGTGCCAATGAACACTATGGATCTCTAGGAAAGGCATAAAATATGCAGCATTTCACAATCTTATTTGATTATGCAACATTTTTTTTCTTAAGAACTTCAGGTTTTACACCAATGAGGCCAGCTCTCCTCACAATACACTTGCTTTAAATGTCATTACTCAGTGATTTCCAATGAAAGTACCTGATAGAAGCTGCCCAGGTGGAACATCCAGTACTTTGAAAGTCCTTTGATCTCTTCTGATAGGCCTAAGAACAGCATCTTGGGCACTGAAGCAAGACCTCTCAGAACATTTACCTGAGCCATATGAACATCCCTTCATGTTAATTCATTTAATCAGCAAACATTTATAAAGAATCCGCAATGTACCAAAGCTGAGCATAAATTAAAAAAAATAGGACTACTTTTACTCTGCCTGGTGGAGATAGTTGTCTTCAAAGATAAAATGATGTTTAAACTAATTAATTAAACTAACATTTAAAGAGAGATATTTTAAAGAGAGGGAACTGCATATATACAGGTATAGATGCCTTAAATGGTGTTGTTCTGTTCCATTGAGCAATACTCTATAATATTTCTGTACATATACAACATGTCCTTTGGTAGCATTTAATAATATATTTTACAAAAGATGGAACTGACACTTAAAGGACTTGGAGAGTTGTGCTACTGTCAAATTTTATTATAGGATGAAAATATACTCATCACTGAAGTAGAGATCATTTACCCAAAAGGTGGAGGTGTCCCTTTATATAGAGAATGACTTCAAAAATCTCATGCAGCTTTGCATCAGCTTTTTGTTTTATTTTTCCATGAATTTTTGAAGCCCTCTCATATTATCAGGAGCAATCACAGAATGCCAAAGTGTGTTATATCACCACAAAACATTAGAAATTCATGCTGAGAGTGATGAAGGTCATAGCTGTTAAGATGATGCTTGGGATGCCTACATCCTATATTAGAATGTCAGGGTTTGAGTCTCAGTTCTGCTGTCAATTTCAGTTTCTTGCTAAGGTGTACCTTGGGAGCCAGCAGGTGATGATTCAAGCAGTTGGGTTCCTGAAACCCACATGGGAGATCTGGATTGAGTTCCTTGTTCCCAGCAGGCATTTGGGGAGTAAATGTGGAGTTTCTTTCACTCTCTCTCTCTCTCGCTCTCTCAAATAAAATAAAATAAAATAATGTTTTAAAGAGGGTCAGTGTTGTGGCATAGAGGGTAAAACCACTACCTGCAATGCCAGCATCCCATATGAGTGTCAATTCAAGTTTTAGTTGCTCCACTTTTGATCCAACTCCCTGCTAATGTGCCTGGGAACGCAGGACAAGATGGCCCAAGTACTTGGGCCCCTGCCACCCACGTGGGAGACCTGAAAGGAATTCCTGTCTCCTGGCTTTGCCCAGGGCTGTGGCCATTTGTGGAGTGAACTAGCAGATGGAAGATGAATTATATGAATATATATATATATGCCTTAATTTACAGAATGCTTTTATATATATATTGATGCTCATGAGAATCCTATGCACATGGGGAGGGAAGGTGTGACCAGTGCCTTTGTTCAGAGGAGTGTGAGGTTTAGGGTGGTTGAGTAATTAGCTCAATGTCACATAATAAAGGACAATTAGAAAGCAGGGGAACGTGTTTAGCCTAGCAGCTAAGATGCCAGTACAGGTGTCTTCATCCCACATCAGAGTAACTGAGTTTGAGTTCTGAATCCAGCTCCTGATTCCAGCTTCTTGCTAATGCAGACCTTGGGAGAGAGTGGTGATGGCACAAGTAATTGGCTTCTGGCCACTCACATTAGAGACCTGGATTGAGTTCCAACCTCAACACTGATTGTTGTATGCATTTGGGGAATGAAATAGAGGATGAGTGATAACTAACTAACTTACTTTCCTCTCTCTCTCTCTCTCTCTCTCTCTCTCCCCCTGCCTCTACCCCTACCTCTACCTCTACCTATCTCTATTTCATCAGATTCCCAGTTTTAAATTCTTAATATGTATTTTTCCTGTGTTACTGATGGTATAGAGAAGACATATCTAAACTAGGGGAAGTCTTTCCTTATAAATTATAGCTGTTGAAAAATGGAATAGGCTGTCTTATGAAATGGTTGCAGCACATATCTCTGCCTTAGGTGAGAGATCAAATATATTTGCAATCCACTGATTGCAAAATTTTAGATCTTATTTCTCCAAGGTGAGTTTTCAGCAGTTAAGCTTGTTCTAGGCAGCTCCTTTTTATTATATACTTGGTACTCAGAAAAGACATTTGTAGAGAGCTGCTTGGGAGTTGAAACTCTACCCAACATCACAGGTAAACCCATTGCATTGGTAAAGCAAATACAAATCAGGTATAAACAGTGTCTTCTGGGACTTCTCAGGTCCAAAAAACAATGAGAAACAGAAGTCACAAATTTATCAAAATCCACAAGTACATAGTATATGATTGAGTTTCCCATGAAACTTAAATCTTAGATCACACATTATGGAGGAGGCTCAGTTCTGCATTAGTACACCCATCAGTCCTTTTGATGTATAGAATACCTGCTTTTTTAGAATCTATATAGTTGTCTAATCACCAAAGGAATTTCAAGAGGTAGACTGAATGAACTGATAATAGCCCACACTTGTCTTTTCTGAAGGAGGACCAGGATTCTCTTTAGAGCCAACAGAATCAGACACTGTTCCAATTCCCTTGGAACATGGTTTGACATATATTTACAGCTATCTATGCTCAAGAGAATGATGCATCTGTCTGATGGAGACGCCTGGTTGCATTCTTTCCCAGATATTAATATAGGTGGTACTTTAGTAGCATAACCAATGACATGAAGAACCTGATTTGGAGGAGAACAGATGGCAGCATCTTTCTTAGGCTAATTTTAGGATTCTGAAATAGTCTCTTTCTCACACAAACCATCAGTGAAACCAAATTAAGACAGCTATGTCACATGGAAAAGGGGGAGAGAAAAAGCATGATTTAATGTAAGGCAAAGACAATGAACCAGAGACTTCAGTGCTTCCACTGTATCTGACTGCTTTCATAGCCATGAAGGTCACTTCAACTGCTTTTCCTCATAATAGACACTGAACGCCAATGTGAAGGTATCTAAAAGATGAGTGGACAAATTTCACTTTCATCGACAAGTACTAAACAATAATAGTTATGTCATGTAACAGCTAAATCCATATTCATAAGAATCTGTAGGTATAGGTCTAATACATTTTTTTCTTAGCAGATAAGGAAGCTGAATCTAAGTGACCATTGTACTTGGTAATTCAGAAGCAGATTTGAATTTCAAAGCCACAGATTCCTGGTCTACTGCTTTGCCTCTGAAAAGACCTTTCCTCCAGATGAGATATATAATATCAGGGAAAGATGATAAGATGTGGAGGAAGAGTCCCTCAGCTAAACATTATATCTTAGGTATAAAGCAGTCATCCAAAGATTAAGAAAAAAATGAGAAAAGTACTTTGAAAAGACACTTACCTGTTTCCCATCCAGAGTGTAGAGTTTTTTGACAACCCCAGTTTCTAGTTTGATGGCTTCAGTGATATCAGTGAGGACTTGCTCAAAAGAATGAGCTGTCTTCTTGTTCAGAAGCACACGTACAGCCTTCCGAGGCTTCACCCCACTGCGGATAATGGTCACCAGCTTGGGGCGCACAAAGTCTTTGTTTTCCCTGGCTTGGGCACTGTTGCTGCTTGCCAGGGACTGAGGGGCTTTCATATTGGCAGATGTCTTCACATTGACAGACCAGTTGGGATTGACATTCTTGGTGTACTCCACCTTTTTAAAGAAGTTGTCTGAGGAACAGACATAGCTTTCCCCTAAGGGAAGAAATCAGTGGTAAGGTGATTAGTTTAATGTTATATTATATTATATATATATGTGTGTGTGTGTATGTATGTGTGTGTGTGTATATATATATGCTATTCTAATCAAATGAATACCTACTAACATTGCAGTATGATTTTTCAAGAAATGGTGGTAATAACCAACCTTAAGTACAGTTCCTAAGTGAGTTCTCTAACAACTTGGCTCATTCAAACTCAAGAGTAAGTCATCAGCAAAACTTCCTTCCAAATAGCAGCACAAATGGTTCAAGAACCTTGTGAAGCTAAGGGTTCTAAGGATAATGAACATTCGTGAATTTAGTCTAACAAGTGAGGTTTTTAAGCTTGACGCTGTTTCATTGGAATAAATATTTTTGTTATTTTTTAGGATTTTTTTTAACTTTTAGGACATCACTGGAAAGTTTTTAACATCATATTTCTTAGTGATCCTGTCCTGGTTTTGGAGTCATATTCCCAATTTTCATAATTAATACATATTCTAAATTGAAGTGAGTCAATCAACCTTCCACGTTGGGCATACAGTACATACTTGGCAAGAAGCTAGATCATCCGTTGCACACAGAATATGGCCAATCATTGGAATATGGAAATGTGAAACATATGTGTGTCTGTTGAATGTATATGGGTGTGGAAAATGTGTCCTATACTGCTCATCCCATATCCAGGTGGAAAAACTGTCTCAGTAACAGCCTGTACATATACACAAAGATACATACAGCATGCACACGTCATTCCTTGTGTTTGCAAGTCCAGCTCTTGCTTGAAAAATACTCTTCTGAGCCGGCGCCGTGGCTCAATAGGCTAATCCTCCACCTTGCGGCGCCGGCACACCGGGTTCTAGTCCCGGTTGGGGCGCCGGATTCTGTCCCGGTTGCCCCTCTTCCAGGCCAGCTCTCTGCTATGGCCAGGGAGTGCAGTGGAGGATGGCCCAGGTGCTTGGGCCCTGCACCCCATGGGAGACCAGGAAAAGCACCTGGCTCCTGGCTCCTGCCAGGATCAGCGCGGTGCGCCGGCTGCAGCGGCGGCCATTGGAGGGTGAACCAACGGCAAAGGAAGACCTTTCTCTCTGTCTCTCTCTCTCACTGTCCACTCTGCCTGTCAAAAAAAAAAAAAAAAAAAAAAAAAAAAAGAAAAAGAAAAATACTCTTCTGCATTTCTGCCACCCACCCTTTATCTTTCCATCCTTCCAAATACTGCATTCTAGACCTGTGTACTCAGGGTCATATTCACCAGTGCTCAGCCTTGGCTGCCACAAGTAATGAGATGGAGATGTGCAGCTTGATTTATGGATTTAAAGGATCTACCGTTATTTTCACATTTACCTTTGGCTAGAGGAACTAATACAGTAGAAGAAATGCAGGGGCTAGAGGCAAGAGGAGGGGATTAGACACCTGGGACTGGAAGCTGGGGAATATAGGAAGAGAGGTAGGCACAGCCTTGGGGAGAGATTATTGGAAAAGGTTGAATTTGTTGAGTAAAACATATTAGCCCCAAGGTAAACAGAAGTTCATCTAGAGGTTGAGTAGCAGAAGCAGTGTGATTTCATTAGTCTTAAGCCATCAGTAATAACCCTAAATAAATAAATAAACTCTTGCCAGTGCAAGGGAAGCATTTAACACAATTATAGCCTGATGGCTCTTCTGCTTTTAGTCTCAGCAGGAGAACTACATGGAGACATTCAGAAACACCAGGCTGTTGATTTTCTCCCTTTGCAAATACTGATTGCTTTGCTGTATGTAGCACGAAATCCTTTAAGTCACGTTAATTAATAAATTTCTCGTTAGTGCTAAGAAAAGTTTCAGTTAGAATCTCTAGGGTCCCTTTGAGAGTATTTACATATGTGTGTAGGGGGGTGGTAAGAGGTATCCAACATATGCAAAGTGGCACCTGAAGCTACCTTTGGTCCCAGAAGCCACTAGCATTCTTCTATCTTGACACGGGTTCAAGGGATACATTCACAGGCAGCCTCTGCCACTTGTTTTATATATATATATATATATATATATATATATATATATATACATCCATCCATGATGAGTTAAAGACTCCAGTCAAGAGAAACACTAATTTTTCTAGCTCCCTTGTTGGTTAACCCAACCTAGTGCAAGTGATTACATGGCTGGAGTCATTAACTCGTGACTTAAAAGGATGAAGGAACCCCTTTGGTTTTTTCCATACATTCACAACCATTATTCTCCACACTCTATAAATGGCCTATTGCCTTAGCATTTTACCAGATTCATGGGCACGTCCACAGAGGTCACTGCTGTTGAGTCAGATGTTTTCCATAACTTGTCACGTACTTTAAAATGCTGTCAGACAACTGGTGGTGTGGAAATGTATGAGGCTATATATTTATGATTTTACTCATCCACAGTCTCCTCTAGAGAGTCAGCTGTGTTGCTCTATTAGGACTCTGGGCTTTTTTTTTTACTCCCAACTCTTAAACCTCTTAAGCCTCTGAACTCTGAGCATGATTAACCACCCCCAGATGAAAATGAACATGATGGAAGAGAGTTATAGTATCATATGGCATCCAAGAACTTTCCAGAGGGCCCAGCCCTCTGCCAAATCTAGTTAAGCACCTTCTGCCAGCACATTTTAGTCACTATGCCCTCCTTTGGGCCTGAATTTGGAGTAATGGAAAAAGAGCACCTGATGTGATGTCAGTCAGAATGGAGTTCCCAAATAGTTGTGTGCCCTTGAGCAAGTTATCTAAACTTCCTTGACTACAGTTTCTTGTCTATAAAGTGGGGCTGATTGCAATATCTACCTTGTAAGGTTGTTGTGGAACACAAAGCAAATGATAGATAGAAAGTGTTGAACGCAGAGCCTAGAACATAATAAGCACCTGTTAAATTCCAGCTATTATTATTCTGAAGCCCCTAATCTGCAGGAATAGAGAAGAGAACAAGAAGGAAAGAGCAAAGAGGGAGAAGAGGGAAAAAAGCTGAAAGAAAGGAAATTAAAAGAGGAGAAACTGAAGGAAAAGAAAAAACAGCAAGGTCAGCTGTCTAAGAATTGGGCTGTGATGGTGACATTCCTTGAGCACAATGGTCTCATTCCCCAAAGATAAGTTGTTCTGTTGCTCAAGAGATGGCTTCCAGTTGCTGCAAATGCCAAATGTATCTCTATGGCTAGCAACCAGCAAAACTATTGCTATCAAAGCTGATGCTTGTTGAGGGCAGCACATGTATCATTGTTAAGAGCAATAAGTTGGGAATCACAGACCTGGAATCAAATCCTAGCCAGGAACTTCTAAGCTCTGTGATCATGGGCAAATAACTTAATCTCTCTGAGTCTCAGATTTTCCAACTATAAATTGAAGGCATTATGTGAAGTGACAGTTATGCCTCTGCTGGGTCTTAAAGGTAAGAATAAATTTTCTTCTGTTTTTCATATCAGATAGGCTTTAGGAAACAAAGCTGTTATAGCAATTAAATGTTAAATAAGTGGGTGCCCACCACCACAAACTCTGTTTCTGCTCCTGGAAAGACACTTTGCCAGACTAAAGCTTCCTTGTTCTGATCTTGAGAACATTTCAGATGTCTACTGCCAGAGCTTTATGCTTCCTGCATGTTCAGCTGCCTGGCGTTTGGCACTGGATGAGGTGTGTTGCACCTTTGCACAGCTGGTGCCCCATCTTGCCACAGTTTTCAGAGGTCACTTCCCCCTACAGGGAGTTAGAAGGAAAGTGGTTTTGGAGCCAAGCAAGGTGACAATTTGCTGGTATTGACAATCTGCTTGAGGGTGAGAGAGTAAGGAAATGAAGTCATGGAAGTATAGCTGAAAGAGTAGGAGTGGAAGGAGCTGTGGGCTTAAGGTGATCTAATGTCTACTTCCCATCCCTTTCAATGGGGCTCCATTTTCAAACACAGTAAATATATTTATATATTCTCAGTGCAAAAGCACTTCTGCCTAGACTGCTGCTGCTCCTCCAGGGTTTCTTAACTCAAGAAAAAAATGTTAAATGATACTTTATTGTATTATCACACCAATTAACAATGCTTTCCTCCAAGGAATTTATACATGCTTGTCTTTAACAATAAATTAGTGAGAAGCTTATTTCATGTCATTGGAGAAAATGAGCTATGGCAAACAAACTGAGTCATAGCTAGTTTTACCATACAGCTCAGATTTTCTGAGACTGTCCAAATTAAATATTTTGATCCATGTTCAGCATAATAATGTATCAACTTGCCTCAGTTTAGGTTCAGAAAAGATGGTTGGTCATAAATGATATCAATAAAATTGATCTGGGTTCACACATAGAAGAAAGGAGGAAAGGATTGGACAGGTTAAAAGGGGAGGAAGAAAGATTCAATAATGAAAAGTAAAGGAAAGACCAGACAAAAGGAACAACGACTAGTGCATTATATTCACCAAACTACTGAGGATATAGATAATGAGGGCCACATCCAATATGGCTTTACTAAGACCCTTGGTGAACCCAAGGAGCCTTGGAAAGCTGATATCAATAATCTGACTTTGGTCCAAAATGCTCTTTAATACTTTCATTACATAGCAGCAGACAGTAGCCTGGAGGCAATAGACAAAGGGTACCACGAGGCCAGAGTGATTATTAACCAATTGCTTTTTAGCTCATTTAATTTCAGGTAAAATGTTTAATAATGTGGCCATTTGGAAACTGTGTGTTCTATGATCCATTACTCCTCTAAGATCTACAAAGCCAAAAAAAAAAAAAAAAGGATTTCTATATTCCTAGTTAACTACTGCCACTCCAGTTATTGGAGGGGACTATCAGAACACTTACTTTAATATGTTCATATCATAGTGCTCATAAGAATCACCTGTGGAGATTTGTAAAAATAAAAATTCTAGGTATTCTGAGTCAATAAGTCTGGTGTGGTTCAGGAATCTACATTTTTCAAAGCTCTGAAAGATTTTTGAAAGTGAGCCTGATTTGTAAACCACTAGATATTACAACCCTTCACTCATCATTGTTGCCATTATTATTTTTGTTATTATTTTACAACATTAACAAAAGTAGTACTCTGTGATTATAGTTTTACCTGTCAATGGGTTTCCATATGTATTATCTAATTTTATTCTCACAACCTCCCTAATGGATAGAGAAGGCATGTGTCACTAGTCTCATTTTACAGTTAAAAATATTACTCACAAGAGATATGCAATGTAGTCTGTACATACAATGGGATATTATTCCTCAATAAAAAGGAATATAGTATCAATGTATGGTACAATATGGAGAAACCTTGAAAAATTATTGTAAATGAATGAATTATAAAAGATCATGTACTGTACTATTGAATTTATAGGAAATGTCCAAAATAGGCAAATCTATAGAGACATAATATAGATTAATAGCTGTCTACAACTGGAAAGGTTGAAGAATATGGGCAGTGACAGCTGATTGGTACAGAGTTTCTTCTTGATGAGATGAAAATGATCTACAGTGAGATTATGGCCAAGGTTGTATCACTGGATAATTTGCTAAGAAGATGGAATTGTACATTTAAATGAGAGAATTTTATGGAATACAAATTGTGCCTCAATAAAGTTTTTTTTAAAAAAAAGAACAGTTATTTTAAAAAGAGAGAACATTAGTCACATTGATAAGGCCAAACCTATGATCATCTAGCTAACATATATAAACTAGAATGACTCAAATAATAATAGTTATCCTTTGTTGACTGCTATTGTGTGTCAGACAGAATAATTAGCACTTCATATCCATTGTCTCATTTAATTCTCAAAATGATAGTTCCTGCTTTAGAAATAAAAAAAAAAAAACAAAACTGAGGCTCCAGGAATCTAAATGGTTTCTTAAAAATCACACAGGGTAGCAGCTGGCAGATCTTGGATTTGAACCAAATCTGATTCCAAAGACTCATTTTTCAATCATAATTGTCTGCCTCTAAAACTAGAACTGAACACCCCAGATTTTTTCCTTGGGTATATTTCCTAGCTTTTTCAATTTGAAGCCAGGAAACAATGCATATGAATTTTTTTTTTCATTTTCGATTCTCTTTATATACAGAAGATCATTTTAGCACACATTAAGTAAAGATTTCAACAGTTTGCTCCCACACAGAAACACAAAGTGAAAAATACTGTTTGAGTACTAGTTATAGCATTAAATCTCAATGTACAGCACACTAAGGACAGAGATCCTACATGAGGAGTAAGTGCACAGTGACTCCTGTTGTTGACTTAACAAATTGACACTCTTGTTTATGGCATCAGTAATCACCCTAGGCTCTTGTCATGAGCTGCCAAGGCTATGGAAGCCCCCTGAGTTCACTGACTCTGATCATATTTAGACAAGGCCATGGTCAAAGTGGAAGTTCTCTCCTCCCTTCAGAGAAAGGTACCTCCTTCTTTGATGACCTGGTATTTCCACTGGGATCTCACTCGCGGAGATCTTTCATTTAGGTTTTTTTTTTTTCCCAGAGTGTCTTGGCTTTCCATGCCTGAAATACTCTCAGGGGCTTTTCAGCCAGATCCTCATGCCTTAAGGGCTGATTCTGAGGCCAGAGTGCTGTTTAGGACATCTGCCATTCTATGAGTCTGCTGTGTATCTCACTTCCCATGTTGGATTGTTCTCTCCCTTTTTGATTCTATCAGCTAGTATTTGCAGACACTAGTCTTGTTTATGTGATCCCTTTGGCTCTTAGTCTTATCATTATGCTCAATTGTGAACAGAAATTGATCACTGGGACTAGTGAGATGGCATTGGTACATGCCACCTTGATGGGATTGAATTGGAATCCCCTGGTATGTTTCTAACTCTACCGTTTGAGGTAAGTCAGCTTGAGCATGTCCTGAACTGCACATCTCTTCCCTCTCTTATTCCCACACTTATATTTAACAGCGATCACTTTTCAGTTAAGTTTCAGCACTTAAGAGTAATTGTGTATTGATTACAGTATTCAACCAAAAGTATTAAGTAGAACAAACAAAAATACTAAGAGGGATAACATATTAAGTTGCTCATCAACAGTCAGTGTATATGAAAAATTTTATCCTTTCATTCAGTATCTTCCAGAGGTGAACAGTGAAGGGACTTCTGTCCTCCATCTCCAGACAAGTAGCTCTAGATGACAAAATATGAGAGGAAAGGGCCCATTTTTTTCATCTTCCATATCCCAGTACCCTTTCCTGTTTGGCTCTGTAGTTGTGGGGAAACTGACCACATTTCTCAACACTATCCCAGATGGCCCTGAATTTCCTTGACTGAGTCAACAGTACTCAGGAATGGAAAGGTATTAAGGGTCTACTGTAAGTTATTGTGGTAATGACATATGAGCAGAGGTAACTGGGCCCTATTCACAATGCACATAGTCCAAGAATTCATCAGAATGTACCACTGCACCCAAGTGGTAGATGTGGTAGATGTGGTAGATGAAAAGACTCTAAGCTCAAAAGACCCAAAGTGACTCAAGGGAAAAGAAAATCTCAGTCTTTTCAAAATTATATTTAATACTTATCCATACTGGGTTGAGATTATCACCACCCCTTTTCCAACACACACACACACACACACACACAGAGTCACACACAATCTAGGGAGAAAATCAATGTTAAAAAATAGATTCTGCGAAAATGAATCTTGATGTGAATGGAAGGGGAGAGGGAGTGGGAAAGGGGAGGGTTGCGGGTGGGAGGGACGTTATGGGGGGGAAGCCATTGTAATCCATAAGCTGTACTTTGGAAATTTATATTCATTAAATAAAAGTTAAAAAACTAGATTCTGGGCAAAATCTGTACATAACACCTCTCTTACATATAAGAATATTATAATCATTGACATATAATGTCATTTGTTTCAGAATTCTGTCTTAGCATCTATTATGGTCTTTAGAAAATCACAGCTAGCGAAAATGAGGACGAGGCCGGCGCCATGGCTCACTAGGCTAATCCTCTGCCTGTGGCACCAGCACACCAGGTTCTAGTCCCAGTTGGGGTGCCGTATTCTGTCCCGGTTGCTCCTCTTCCAGTCCAGCTCTCTGCTGTAGCCTGGGAAGGCAGTGGAGGATGGCCCAAGTGCTTGGGCTCTGCTCCTGCATAGGAGACCAGGAGGAAGCACCTGGCTCCTGGCTTTGGATAGGCGCAGTACTCCGGCTATAGCGGCCATTTCGGGGGTGAAACAACGGAAGGAAGACCTTTCTCTCTGTCTTTCTCTTTCACTGTCTAACTCTGCCTGTCAAAAAAAAAAAAAAAAGACAGAAAGAAAGAAAAAAAGAAAAGAAAATGAGGACATACTGGGTGATTCAAGGGGTTTTGTTTGCAAAAGTTATTATAGAGAAACCCATCATATTTAACTGAGATATGCATTTTACAGTGACAAAAGACACTCAACTTATCGATTAGTCTGTTGGACAGCTCCCTCAACCTAGCTTCAAACCCTTTAAGCCTTCAAGTTTGTCCTCAATCTCCTTTATTTTGAGATATGCACTAGGATGGCCAATCCTTTTATGGTCTTCCTGTTCATCCAGCACATCATCAAATAATTTAAGTTTCCTCAGCATTGCTTTTCAAGGTCAGTAATGTAAAAAAACAAGTCTGGATTTGAACCTTGAGATTAACATGGAGCAGCTATATTGATGCTGTCTTATAAGCAAATGGCCCCATTCAATCAGCCTGACTACTTGAGAGACTTGGGGTCTTGTACAAGGGAAGCCCTCATGCTCCTTTGTCTATGAGCACAAGAATCTTAGAGTACTCCCAAAGCAAGTCATGTGATGTGCTGTTTCTTCTTCCTTGTTGATCATTTCATACTATGGTTTCAATGGAGATCTCCTTGTTTTAATGTCACCTGTGTTCTGAGAATGGAGAGAGTGAAGCCTGTGGGCTGGATAATGAGGGATGGGTTGGAGGAGAAAGATTTTCTTTCTTTCTTTTTTTTATAGCATCATTCTTTGAGGCTGTTCTTTAAAGCACTGCATCAAGTAAAATTGATCACATGTGTTATAACCACCAATTTAAAAGCAGTACTATGGAAGCATGCTCAATATAATCAGTTTGACAATATAGAATATTAAGAATCTGATTCAAGATATATTTTCTAAATGACCACAAAGAAGACCTTGCAGCTGAGCAAGTTTTGGTAAGAGCTAGGATTTCCCTAATTTTGGGGTGGAACACAGGGCATCAGGATTTTCAGCAAGTCTGGTCAGCAAATTCAGTTGCAATACCAAATTCTAAAGAACGTTTCAAGGGAGTTAGGTACAGTGAGTCAGTCCCTATTCTAACAGGAATAATCTTTATTAAAATACCAGGCATACCTACAGCTTTCTTTGGCATTTCTCCCAATGACCTCAGCCTTAGGGACACACCCGGAAGAAGGCTTTTTAGAAGCAACAGCTGAGCAGTACCCACTTACCTAAAAGTATAATCCTCTGTGAATATGTCCAGGAAGTACTGCTTTTAGGATGCAGATTTCCAATGAGTTGCAATTCCCAAATAATTTCTCAGCAGTTCAAAGGAAATTTGGGCATAATATTTTCTCTGTTAACCCATACAAATGTCTTCCTCATTATACCCATGATTGCTTCATAATCTGCCTTGACAATGCTACTCAGAGTTAATTGTGAACCATATGCAGCATAAGCACCACAATTCACATTTTCCTTTGTAAACCCTGGCAGATAAGCACAAAGCCTTATCCCCACCATCCAGACATCAACCTCAGCAGAGACCAAAGGCCATGAAGGGTGATGGCTAATGGCTCTATTGATGCCTATAAAATCAGAAGTCTGAGCAACAGCCTGATGCATTAACAACTACATTTCCTAATTTCTTTCCATGAAATCTAAGAATGGAACCATAACAAATGAGAGCACCTCCCACCAAAAGCCAGCACCCACTACTTGAATTACCTTCCTCCAATTCATCCATGCTTCCAATCTTCCTGGATCCATCAATGGTGTAAATGTAACGCACTCCCTGAGGCAGGTTGATGTTGTCAGACAGAGATCGAGTCAGATCAGCTAGCAAGGCGTCGAAGCTGCGGAAACGGTCAGAGGACACAGCGTACACAATCCCCTTGAAGTAGCGGTCCCCATTGCGGTAGAAACGTACCTTCTTGGCTTTTTTCTCATTGCTCAGTGCCTGCAAGGTTCTGGTTCGGTAGAAGCTACAGTGGGCGCTGTGAGTGGGGCTAGGCAGCCCGTTCATCCTTGAACCTCTCATGTTCCTAGATGCCTTATCTCTTTCATCAAAATGTCCAAAATCAAGTTCCATATTTCAGTGGAACCTCAGAAACCTGAGTGTTGGAGAAAGGGGTAGGGGTAAAGAGAGGCAAAGAAAAGGGGTCAAGGAGGGAAAAAAAGAGAAAGAGATTCAAATATTAGCCAGATCCAGGTCTGCAATCTGCTGCCTGTGAAAAGAACTGGTTGAAGAAAGCCCGTGACCCATCTGCTGCTTGCCCTGACCTGCAGGAATATTGATCTTAATAGAGAAGAAGGAGGGGCGGGGCAGGGGTGCTGGTGGGTGTGGGGGTTGGGAGTAAGAGATAGAGAGGGAGGCACTTTGGGCACGGTTCCAAACACAGGAGAGGGAGGGATCCTGAAATAGCGTAAAATCTTGAGACTACTGACAGTGGCTCCTATCATATTGTAACTTCGGGCTAAATACATTAAAACTGGCATCTGTTTCCTCACACATGCCCACATGACTAACAGTTGTAAATGAATCCATAGCTTGACAAAATTCCCCCTCAGAGAACAGAAGGAGCTAGCCAAGGTTAGCATCTCCAGCTTTGGAAGGGGTCTTTGCATCTCAGCACAATGACTATGAAGGGGAGTCTTTTAATTTTATTCCAAACCCTCTTTCTTACTCTAATGTGCGCATCCCCTCCCCCCCAGAACAAACTGGGATTCTCTTTTAAAGGGACAGCCTCCAGGGACTAGCCAGTGTCTTTGTGCTATTCATCAAACCCTTTCCCCCACCAAGCTGGTGCAGAGCTCTGACATGCACAAGAAATAAGATGAGAAAACGGTTTAGAAAAGGCAGTCATTTAACAAGTTATTAGCTCTGCTTTCCCTTGATACCATTTAGTCACAAAATCCTGTTTGTGTTTTTTTTTTTTTTCCCCAGGTGCTTCATCCCCTCCCTTCAGATGCAGCAACACCTCTTAATGAAATAATAATCTAATTGTTTCAAGATTTCCAAATGAGTCCCTGGAACAGCATATGGGACCTTTAGAAGCAAGCACACCTTTCATTGTTCTGGGTTTCTACACTAAATGAAGGGGCATTTTTGGTTTCACAGCAGGCAATTCACCCCCAACTTGTCTATTGCCCAGGTGATTTAGCTACAGAAAAAAAAAGAGGGATATCTGTCAGGCTTTGCTTTTTCCTTTCTGCAGAAGCCCCCCACCAAACCTCAAAAGACAAAAATGCAATGAAAACACCCAGCCAAATACAACCAAAGCCCCAAACGCCAGCAAAGGTAGTGACATAGGAATCAAACTATTAGCATGCATCTCACAGATAGGCATAAAAGGACTCACAAAGCAAGTAGGGCTCAGCTGCTGCACACTGCCACATGGAGGTATTTGCAAGGGACCCGGAGGACAAGAGATAAAGGGAGACTGGTGCCTAGTGGGATTGCCACGCTAGACGCCCCCCTCCCTTTTTCCAATGTCACCGTGACCTATGCTGAGCTCAGCATTGTCTCTGTCAGACAACCTGCAGTGGTAAGACCCCACCTCCTCAACACGAGCAGCAAGCATTTCCCAGCCTGCCAGTAACGCTTTGCTTTGCTTTACCATCAGAGATATTATTCTAAATTAACAGCAAAGTGAAAACAAAGGAACATGAAACTTACTTTCCAAAGGAAAATCCCAGGTAGAGCTTTAAGGGGAAAAATCCGACAGAATAAAGCAAAAAGGAGAGGAGGAGAAAGAGAGAGAAAGAGAAAGGGACAGAGAGCACGCTTTGCCTTGTGCTCTTGTGCTTTTCCCGTTTGACATCTGTTACATTCTGCTTGAAAATAACTGGAAAGCCCCACTCACCGGTTTTCTGCTGGTTGGGTGGAGATGCTGAGAGAAAGAAAACCAATCTCTCTATGCCTTTGTTGTCTGAGCTCCAAGCAAGAAATTCCTGCCAGGGTGGATAGATGCCTTCTAGGTCCTAGTGCCTTGTCCAGCTTCTCCCCTGTAACTCAGGCTTAGTGAATCCCCCCAACCTCCTATGATTAATTACATTCTTTTTTCTCAATTCACAGGCTGCATTAACAGCTAAGTTCCATTTATAACCAACAGGAAATTGCAGGGTAGCAAAAAGGTTGCACAGGCAAATTCACTATGCTCTAATGAGCAATGTGCTAGCCCTTTCTTTTAGAAAATTGGCAATTTCTCTTAGCCAAAACCTTGACCTAATCTGCCTGGAAGCCAGGCTCAACCCACCAAACCAGGCTTCTTAAAATTGTAGCTCTCTCCTTTTTTACGCTCTTGAAATAAAATAATCAAATCTGTGAATTTTGAGGCATTTTAATTCATGCATCCAACAACTGGTCATTTTTCAAATGAGGTAAGTGGAGTAGACTAAGAGGGAGTAGGAAAGAGTCCATACAAGAGAAATTAGTTCCAGAATTTCATGGAAGATAGATTTGAAAAGGATCCCTAAAGACTTTTAGGCAACTATAACAATTTGGTTAATGAAATCTGTGTTTTTTACCTTTAAACGTTTGAGAGTTTAGAGACCTGTGCTGTGACCTAGTAAGTAAAGCCACCACGTGCAGCATCAGCACCCCATATAGGCACCGGTTTGTCATAGCTGCTCTCTTCTGATCCAGCTCTCTCTTATGGCCTGGGAAAGCAGCAGAAGATGGCCCAAATTCTGGGGTCCCTGTACCCACGTGGGAGACCTGGAAGAAATTCTTGGCTCCTGGACTTGGCCTGGTCCAGCCCTGGCCATTGCAGCTATTTGGGGAGTGAACCAGCAGATGAAAGCGCTCTCTCTCTCTCTCGCTCTCTCTCTCTAACACTGTGTTTCAAATAAATATAAATAAATCTTAAAAAATAAAAGAATTGGGAGTTCAAACCTAACCTAGACATGTTTCTCTTTGAAGTGAGTCCAGTGACTACAAGTTAAGAGTTGTCTCTTCAAATTGCCTATTTGTAACTAACTGGATTCTTTACATCACCTATGTTTTAAAAAGACAAAGAAGCATCCAAATTAAACTCATTAGATCAGACCAAACTATGAGACAAGAGGAGAAAGATGAGAGGCTAAGTGAAAAGTGGGCTACCGTCTTCACAACTGAACTCTGTGCATTAATTAATGTGTAGCAGCCTTGAATTATCATGGTTCCATTTTCACTTGGCTTCCAGGAAGCTCAGAGGTAAAAAGTACACTCAGCAATTACTATATGTCTGATTCTTAGTAAATTAACCCCTTTATATAGATCTGTTAATCTTTCATATTTAAGCATTTTCTGTGAATTTGTTTTACTGTAAGCTGCCACCAAGTGAGATTAAAAAAAATGAGCATTTTTCTTCCTTGGAAGGTGTTGGCTCAGCAAAGCATAAGCTATCCGTATTAGATGAGTGGACAACTTCAAGTGTGCAACCTGCCTGCTGAAGTCCTCCCAACACCTTGCTGCTGCTCTCTTTGTTTCTATGTAAGTATCTCAGTGGAATGCATCTGTGCACACTGATCTCTTCCATGTATTGTTGCCTTACATTCTTGCAACCACTTGAAAAATCAGGATTATTCAGATCAGAAAGATAGAAATATCAAAAAATAAGTGCAGGAAAATAGGAAATTTCAGTGAGGTGAATGTCTTAAAAGTACTTTCTTACATATCATAATCATTCATTAAATACACAGAAATTGATTTTGCATCAGAATTCAATTTTTTTTCTTTTTGACAATTTTTATTTTTATTAATATAAACATAACATATTTCTTGTATTTCAAAGGTACAATTCTAAGAAAATAACCATAGTAAGGATATGAAAATGGATAGGATGATAGAACTCACATATGAAGGATTTAGAATAGATTTTGATAGAAAATTTCATCATGATTCAAGTTTTTGCAATACTACTGCAAAAGCTGTAAAATGACCATCTAGGATAAATGACTTTGTTTGCCTTAGATATACCAGAGAGCAGAGTGACAAACAAGATCAATATTTCCCAGCTTGATATACATAGATATTAATAGGTGTTCTTTAAAAATAGAAAAGGGCATTGTAGACAAAAATGCTTGAAAAGTTATGTTAGTTTTCTTTAATCATAAACTTATCAGGGTCTTTAATATATTTAAAATATGTCACAAGTTTCTAAGAAGATAATTTATGATAAAGGGCTTCTGATTTCTGTTTTAAGCTCAAATCCAACCCCAGAGCATCTCAAAGACCAGTGTTCTATGGGGATAGGGGGAGACTTTTGCAAAAATTTTACTAGAACATCTCAAGTTTATTTCCTCTCAAAGCACTCAGCTACTCACAAAGATCCTTTCCCTCACATCTTCGGATGAAAGGGGCCACTGGTAGAAGAGCAGGTCTCAGGCACAGGTCTTAAGAGGAAGTGCATCTTTAAATATGGAAGTCAACTTGAAAGGTAAATGTGAGTCATGGATGAAGGCTCAATGGAGTGAAGATCTTGAAAGCAAAGCATAGCAAGCCCACTGTGGGAAATGTATCAGTAACATATTTTGAGTTATTACAATGTGTTCCAGTACCATGGGCAAGGTGCAGAGTAGGAGACATCTGTCAGTGATCCTGAGGGACTTGAGGACTCATTGAATACACAGGACAAGACTGTGGGTCTTGTAAAATCATAAAGTCGAAAGGGTTAGATATTTCTTGATATGCTGAGACTGGGTTAACCAACTCAGCTTAAGGACCAAGGTCAAAAACAAAGACAAGCACACACACACAGACACACACACAAGTTTATGTTACCTGTCAGAAGCAGAGAGAATAGGATCTGGTGTGGGGCAGGGTAAGCAACAAGAATAAGGTTGTATCTATATAAAGACCATTTATGGGAGCCACAAACCTAAATGATATCTAGGAATATTTCCAATAAATATGTGTAAGAAATGTATTGAGAAGGTTATAAAACTATTGAAGAACTTAACAGATGCTGTGAATAAATGTAGAGCCAACTATGATCATGGATGGCAAAAATGTAATAATATAAGGTTCTCAATCCTCTCCAAAGTAATCTATACACATATGAGGAAATTCTAATAAGACTCCAACAGAAATTTGTGTGAGACCCAAAAGACAGTGTAAAATTTGTATAGAAGAATATAAGCTCTAAGAATAGCCATGACTATTGTAAAATGAAGAACTAAGATGCCTAGATTTTTCCCTCTCAAAGTTTACTATAAAGCTAGAGTAATAAAGATAATTTGGTGTTGACCTGGAGGACAGACAAAGATCAATGGAACATAACAAATATCAGCATCAACAGGACCTGTGATAGAACAGTGTAATGGCTAAAGCATGGACACTGGAGCCAGACTGCCAGGGTTCAAATTTTGACTCTACTAATTATTAACTGATGATCTTAGGTGGGTTACTTAACCTCTCTGTGCCACAGTTACATGAGGGTAGTAGTGACTACATCTGTCTCAGTTGTTATGAGGATTCAATTAGCAAATATACATGCACCTCGGACAATAGACCATGACACATAGTATGTATAAGTGTTAGTCTTTATTATATCCCAAAAATTCATGTGCCAACTCTTTTACTTCATTAACGTCTTTACCCAAAGATCAACTTCTCATCAAGAGAACTGAGGCCACTCTATTTAAAATGATAACTTTCCATGCTGGGAGATTGGTGTAGTAGTTAAGACATTGCTTAGGATGTCCATATCCCATATCTCTGAGTGCTTGGTTTGAGTATCAGCTATACTTCCAATTCCAGTTTCCTGATAATGTATACCTTAGGAGGCAACAAGTAATGGCACAAGTACTTGTGTCCCTGCCACCGATGTGGGAGACACAGATGGAGTTTTGGGCTCCTGGCTTCAGCCTGGCCCAATCCTGGATGTTGCGGACATTTGGGGAGTAAACCAGCAGATGTTCTCTCTCTCTCTCTCTCTCTCTCAGTGCCTTTCAAATAATGAAAATCACTAAGTTGACAAATACATTTAAAATTACAAAGTTCCTTCCAAACCCAGTACTCAAAATTTCCTTTATTCTTTTTTCTATAATACTATAACTTCCGAATGTTTTATATTTATATAACATAGTTATTTATTATGTTTATATCTCCCCAGAGAGGAATATAAGCTCTTGAGGGCAGGAATCTTCTGACATATTTCATAAAATAGAATTTATAATACCAATGGGAGTGTTTTTTCTGTGTTTTTAGTACTATATGCTAAGGGTCTTAGACTTGATACATATTAGGTTTGGATATTTGTTGAATTATGTAGAGTAAAGAAAACAAGGAGTATTCTACAGATGTATTGACTGAGAAAATTAACTTTCATATGGAAAAACACTAAATTAGATGCTTACCTTACACCATACATAAAAATAAATGCCAGATATTTTAGAACTTTAATGTAAAGAACAAATATTCAGGGGGGCTGGTATTGTGGCACAGCAGCTTAAGCTACTACCTGTGACACTGGCATCCCATATGAGTGCCAATTCCAGTCCGGGCTGCTCTGCTTCTGATCCAGTTCCCTGTTGCTGCACACAGGAAAGCAGTGGAAGATGGCTGAAGTGCTTCAGATCCTGCCACCCACGTGGCAAACCCAGATGGAGTTCCAGGCTCCTGGCTTCAGCCTGGCCCAGTCCTGGCTCTTTTGGACATTTGGGGAGTGAACTAGAGGATGGAAGACATCTGTTTGTGTATGTGTGTGTGTGTGTGTGTGTCTTCCTCTAACTCTGCCTTTCAAATAAATAAATAAATAAATATTTATTTAAAAAGAACAGAAGTTGAAACTATTGGAATAAAACATAGGAGAAAAGACTTTCTTAAACAAGGTGC